TTAAATTTGATAATAACTGAAACGATTAAAAGTTATTCCTAAATATAGTGTTAATAAGAAATTATTTCAAAAACAAAGAAAATAAATACTGAATTGTTTTATTTCTCAAATACGACTTGCTTCAGCTTTCTTAATATCATCATCAGTTATAATCTCATATTGTTTCAAGCGATTTAAAGCATAATTTCCTTCATCTTTCAAGATTTGATAATGAGAATGAATTAAATCAAGAATGGCATATATGACATAAGGATCTTTCATGATAGTATTTGCATACTCACTTTTAAAATTAATCAAATTACAGAGTATTCTTGTTGCTTCATAAGCTACTCTGACATCTCTTACTTCTCTTGTAGAAGTTTGAGGAGTTCTTTTCTCTTTTATTAGTCGAACAGTATATCCCGCTGTTTCTATAATAGCATTAAGAGCAGTTGGAAGGTTCATAAAATGTTCAGCACGAATGGATGAATTTAATATTAAACGAGATATAATTTGTTGAATATTAAAGATAATGACTTGGTTAGTTGAGACATTATACCAATCGTTAAGTACTTCAAAGATATTAAGATCAAATGTTAAATAATCTCTATTCTCATGAAGTACAGATATTGAATTGATTACTGATAAAGACATAAGCAATGCACGTTCATCATGTGGATGTATTTTAATATATTCTATTATTTGTTCAGTTACTTTATATGTTTTATATTTTCTAATTGTTTCATCAGTTCTTCCCATATTAGTAAGTAAAAGCATTAAAGATGAATATCCCTCTCCTTCTATCCCTTGGATTCTTTTAACAATATCTTCAACTTTGTTACTTAAGATATTTAATGTATCATCTCTTAATGCAATACTATTTATTGCTTCTATTGCACAAATCATAGTTTCTTTGATAGTACTTTGTATCATTTCTATTAATGAATTGAGAAATGGAATAAATCTATAACTTTCAATCTTTTCATCATTACAAATACTTCTAAACAATAATAATAATGATTGTTTGATAAATTCATCATTAGTTCTCTCAATTTCTTTCTCAATAGGTGTGATTAATTCATCAAAAATACTTCTATAATCTTCTAATTTCAAATCACTAATATCAGTCAATGCTTTAATTGCCATAATTCTAATACCTTTAGCTTGTGCTTCAAAGATTAATTCTTTAAGAATATTAATTGTGTTTTGAGGAAGTAATTTAATTGACTTTTCAATATAACTGTCAATAATTGCAATAATACTTCCATAAATTGTCATTAATTCATTTGGTGCCTGCTTTCCATTTGATAAGAGTTGAAGTAATAATTCAATTATACCTTTCTCACTAATTTCTTTTTGGATATCTTCACAATTTGTTACTAATGTTAATAATCCACTCAATAAACTAGTAACAAATTGAACACTAGTAAGTTGTGTAGTAACCTTTCTTTCATATTCAAATGTACTGAAAAGTTCTTCAATAATTTTCACTATTTCAGGTTGAATTAATAAGTTTTCTATTCCTTCAATGATATTATGTTCATATAAATATTCTTTAGTTTTAAAATTATTGTTTGTGATAAATGCTAAACAGGTAATGATTTTACTTACATTCTCAATTGGAATATTAGGCTCTACACAGACTTTGAGAATTTTATCAACAATCTTTGTTCCTTTTCCTTCATTAAATAATGTTAATTTCTCATTAAACTCTTTACTATCAACATGTCTTAAAAAGTCTTCAAAAATTCCTAAGTATTTCCCATCATCTGTTGTTTCTATCATACTCATTTGTTCAATCCATTTAATACTTTTTTCATTAATAATGATATTCCCTTCAGAGTACATTTTTTTGAGTGTTTCATCAAGAAGTTCCAATGTGATTGGTTGATTGCTTTGCATATCTTCAAATGTAATGAACAGATTATGATAAGAGACAGTAATGTGTTGCGTCAAGCCAGATCACCACCACGTTATTTTCAAATAACACTTTTCCTAAGTGTGTTATTCATAGAAAAAACTAACTAAACAAAAGAAATGAACGAGGATGAGATAAAAACAGTGTTGAAAAGACTCAAAAGTGAAAGTCAAACACAAAATGAACTAAATGAGAAAATCCCATACTTAGTTAATACATTAAATGAAAGTAAATATTTAAAATATCAAAACGAGATTTGTGAAATTATTGGTTTGAATATTGGTGTGTATAGTAGAAAAAGTATTATTCAACAAATTTATTACATCCTCCCTGATTTAATTTTTGGAATTAATAAACAAGTAACTGAACAACCAATCATTAATAAAGAACAACCATTTTATATTAATCATCCTTTCATACCTAATTCAAAACAAATTATCACTAATCCAATAGTTTTTTCATGTGGTATACTTAAAATTACTATGTTACTTATCAAAAGAAGTCAAGTTAAGTTTTATACACCTATGATAGATTTAATAATCACGATTCTAAAATCTGATAATCATAAAACAAATCTCATTTCATCAACACTTGATTTTGTCTTTGTTTTATTTAAAGGACTCAATTCTCCATCATTTAATCAATATTTTTATCAAACATTATTTGAATGGAGCATAAAAGAAAGGAATCTTTCAAAGGAAATTAAAGGAGTTTTAGAAAATATACCAATCAATATTGGTAGAGAATGTCAACATAGTATTCAAGAAGCAATTAACATTAGTACAACACCAATTTATTTTAAAATATTGGTTAGATTAATAAAAGAAGGAGGAATAGAAACACTAAAAGAATATAAAAATGTTATAATCAATGGAATGTGTTGTGGAGAACGAGAAGATGTAATTGAGTTTATTGAAGAAACAAAGAAAAAAGAAGAAGGATTAAAGATATTACAAGAACAAGAAAATAAATTAAAGTCTATTATTGAATCAAAAGGAGTTTACAAGAAAGCAAATACTATTCAAGCAGGATTTATATATTGTACACGATGTGTTAAAAATGAAGATGAATATGAAGAAATTATGAAAAGAATCCGAAATGAAATCACTAATGAAGTTGTTAACATGATTAAAAAAGAAGTTAAAGAAGATATACTTAATGTTATTACATTTATTAGTATAGAAATTACAGAAAAGAAGTATTGGATGGGAATAAGTGAAGAACAATTTTATTCAACACTTACTACACATTTAAATATATTATATCAACAATGTATTAAAGAAATAGGAAGAAATGAAAAAGGATTAGAGTCTATAATCAAATGTTTAATTATTGGATATCCAGAAAATGATAGTAAAAAAGAAGAATTTATAGAAATAATGAGTGAAAATGAAGTTGTTATGAAGAAGTATATGAAACATATTTTAACATATATACCTTTATACCCAAAAAGAGCAAAAAATATTAATCAAAAATTAATGATAAAAACACTTGGAAAAGGTATTAATAAAGAAAGTGAAAAAGTTATTGGAAAGTTATGTTGTTATTATGCATTAAGTACAAATAAAATACAAATGAAAAGAAATAGAAAAGGAGAAGAATATAATGTTGAATGTCCATTTTGTGATGGAAAAGAAGAAAATACAAAAGAAATGTATCAAATCAAAACAACATTAACATTTGAAGGAATTACTGAGTCAGTTAAAAATAAATATAATAAATTAAATGAAGAAGAAGATAATAAAGAAGAAAGAGGTATTGTTGGAGAAACATATATTAGAATGATTATTCATTTACCAATAAGTAATAAAGAAAAAATGGAAAAAATTAAAGAAATGATTAAAAGAATGAAAGGGATAAAAAAGAATAAAGAATATTGTAAAATCTTTAGAATCATTTTTAGATTTATATCAAAAGTAATTACAGAAAGAATAGATGAAGATAATGAAGAAAATAAAAAATATTTTGAAGGAATTATTGAAGAAATGGTAAATAAAGAAGTTGAAGATAGAATTGAAATATATGATATAATTGGAGAAGTTATTAATGAAATAGATATAACAAAAATCAATATAATTATAAAACGAATGATTTATGAACCTAAATTTTATGAGAATCAAATGATGAGAATAAGAATTATTGAAACAATGAAAAAATGTGGGAAATATTTAGAATATTCAACAATAGAAAGAATGTTTAATGAACATAGAGAATTAGATAAAGATATTTTTTATTTAACAAGACAACCTTATCAAAATTCATTTATTAATCATTTTTTAGATGAAAAGAATGAAAATGGATTTAATAAATTTATTGAAATTAGAAAAGAAAATATTCTTCCTGAAATTATTTATGATATTTTAACCAAAAAGAAGAATGAAAATCAATTTAATATTGATGAAAATCAAGGATTTGAAATTTATAGTAAAAATATTAATATTAGACTTGAAATTTATTATCATATATTTCATAAATGGATTAAAGAAGGAAATGAAAATTTATTAAGTAAAGTAACTATTGAAATTAAAAAAGTATTTAATAAACTCAATATAGAACAACAAAACATTATTATGGAATTATTAAAAAAAGATCATTCAAGTATTTTTGAACATTTTATATTACGTAGTAAAGAAAAAGAAATGAAAAATACAATAATCATATTAAATAAAGTTATAGTATGTTTAGAACAAATGAAAGTTGGAGATAATAAAGATGATACAATACAAGAAATAGGAAAAAAATATGGATTAATTTTTATGAATCGTATTAGAAGAGTACTTGGACTTAGTAATACAAAAGAAAGTGTATTTGGATGGAATGATGGATTTAATGGAATTACAAAGTTTCTCAGTATGAAAAGTGAAATTAAAGATATTAAATATATTTTATTGAAAATTATCAGAAAAATTACAAAAAAAGTAATAAGTCGAAAGGAAGTTAATTCACAAACAATTGATACAATGAGAATGTGGAGAAAAATGTGTGAATGTAAAGACAATGATGATATTATACTTGAAATTGCATTAACAACAAAAGAACTTATTAATAAAGGAAAAGATAATGAAGAAGTAAGAAGAATTGGAAATAATATCATTGAAGAACTTAAAAAAGGAAAAGAAAGTATTAAAGTATTTTATCCAGAATTTAATTTAGGATATATTGAAACAAAACATGAAGAACAAGCAGAACTTGCTATTGCAAAAAAATTATTAACAGGAAGTAAAAGTAAAAAAGTAAAATATTATATTCTAAAAAAGATTAATAAAATATTAAGTGAAGGAGGAATTAGTTCATTAAGTAAATTAAATGATGAACAACTTAATAATACACTTACTACATTACTTAAAGAAATGAAAGGAAATAAAGATATTGAATATGAAATTGGGAAAATTATTGGAGTAATAGGTGCTATTTCACCATCTAGAATTCATCAAGATGTTCCATTTTCAATTGATAAAGAAGATTCAACAAATATGAATACATTAATTATTACATTACTTAAAAATCATCTTGTTCCAGAACTTATTGAACGAGGAGGAGATGAATCACTCTTATTTGTAATTATGAATTTATTAACAAATGGATTTACAAAACAAAAAAAA